GTAGTAATGCAACGTGTGGTAATCCAACGCGTGGTAATTCTACGCGTGGTAATTCTACGCGTGGTAATTCAACGTGTGGTAATTCGATGCGTGGTAATTCGATACGTCGAAATTCGGCGCGTGGTAACTCGACGCGTGGTAATTCGTCGCGTGATAATTCTACACATGGTAATTTTACGCGTGGTAATTCGACTCCTGATAATTCGCCGCTCGAATCTTCGACGTTAAAATCTCCAATATTAACACAAAGCATCAGTGTGTCAAAGGGTCTTAACGTTATCAAGAAATTGGCGACACGCCTGAAACATATTACCGGTATTATCTAGTCACATTGTCTCAAGATATCATATTCTATTATTACACCAACGTATCTACATTCGTACATACAACAAACATTAATGAATCGTATACTTAATTTTCTCATTGTCGATCATCGAAAGCAGGTGTTAATGTCGCGTGAAACGATTATCCGAGAGGCGCCGTTCGCGGGGAGTTTTTCGCGCTGGACAAAGGATGTCGCGAAAAAAATGACGGGTCAAGGTGAGAGGATCGTCGTAATCCAAGCTTTATTGGTGTACAAAAAGGTGGCGATTAGCGATGCGTTCGTCGGTACAAAAGCTCGATGAATCTGGCGGGCAGGAAACGCCACTCAGAAAAATGAGGCTTCAAGGTGGCTCGACCGGGTGGCTCCGACTACTATCTTGTTTCTTATCAATCAACAACGGTTCCGGATTTGTTAATTAGCGCCTGTTTGTCGCGTGTGGTGATCACGATTTACGCGGACGCCTTACGGTAGCTCGATAACATTTTGTCAGCACTGAATTAAATCTCTCTGTGCTAACGTCTGATAGAAACAGAGAAAGATTACTGTTCGATTAATTCACAAATTATATTTACAATCAATTTTACTCCGTTACATTCTCTGTCTACTCACTTGTAATTCAAATCTGAATTACAATTTGACGTTCTTTATTGGCAATGAGTACCGTTTATAAACTCATAATATTCAAACAGGGATATCATTATCACAATAGTAATTGAATTAATAAAGTTTGAATTGTGTAAGTATTGCAGTGTAATTCGATTAGGATAGTCGTGAATGGCAACCACGATTACAGACAAGTTTACGCACAAGTCATTTCCGCGACGAAATTTCGTTGGACGATAATAACGTATCACTGTTTTATATAATTCGAGATATCGTGTTCTAAATTAAATATTTAATCGATGATCGATTGAACATGTGACAAAGAAAAAATATGAGTGTGTAATTTACAAAGAATGTTCATAAACACTGAAAGAGTTTCGATCGATTTGCATGCACGTTCAAGAATTTTGAGCCTAGGTAATATATGCAGGAATATGGAAATAGTCACGCGAGCGAAATTAAGCGAATCAAAAATGAGAATTAGAATTTTAATTAATTACGGTTTCGTGATGTTACATAGTTTAGAATGCGACTTTTATCGATTAGTACCCTTCAATACGAACTCCTCTATTTTACTTATTTTTTATTTTCCCGATTATGAAATACTCGTATGAAATTTCATATCGAAAGCTTTTAAAGTTACGAATTTATTTTTTAGACGAAATTTTGAAATTTCAAATTTAAAATGATCATGATCCTAATACAGATCCGGCGAATAAATGCTAGCCGGTCCACCCCGCACAAAACCCCAAGTTACGTCAATGAGCGCAGCACGTGCACCCCGTTACCCTTGACAAACGAAGTATAGTTCTCTAACCTAGAAAATGGATCGATCAACAATGACCCAGAAAGGTGAACCGTACATCGGTAAAAATCCAAGAAAGCTTCTCGAGCGATGAACAATCCGAATGAACGCGTTTCCCGGTAACTATTCGAGTTAAATTGTCCAATTTGATTCGTAATGTAAAATTCTCCCTGGAAGCGTTGGCGTCAGCCGGAGTCATCCTCGAGACGGCTTTGAACTTTCTTAGAACATCAATGACGAGCGTCTAAAAAGCTCGTCCCCCGGTGTTCGTTCATCAAGCGTGCTTTACGTGCAGATTTGGTGGGGGGTTGTCGGAGAGGTCGAGGAAGGAAGGGAAGAGTGCAGAGGCACACCGGTACTATTCTCTATGCCATGGCCCGTATGACGAAGCTGTTCATGATAATGCGATAGTGTTGGTCCGTGCTTAGCACTTGATAAAAGATAGCGGTGACTGAACAGATGCCAGTACTCACCCGACCTGTCGGCTGACAGTCTCGCGTACTCGCCCCGGTGTGCGGATGCATCAATCGTCTGCGGTGACTTTTTCCGACCGTCGAAAACCGTGAACGTCGAAACCACTCGTGAACAGATCGTAAGTTCGTGCGATGACAGGATCGAGGATCGTTTGAAGATGTCGAGAGGAAACCACCTGCCAGAAAATCATTCGCCACAGAGTTTCAAACAGTTGACCAAACTGACTCGAGAGAACAGTCAACGGAAGAGATTCCTGCGATAGGAGTATGAAGATGGGTGTAATACTCGAACCGTTTCAGTGAAAAGACACGAAAAGTCTCGAGAACTGAGAGAACCTGAAAAAGAACCTTTGCAGACTGAAAATCTACTCGAAGATCATGAACACCAGGTCATGAGTGAAGTAGCCATTCAGCGCCATTGAAGGGACTCGAAGAGCAAAAAAGAAGAACGATCATCGTGCAGACTCAAGACGTGAATTGAAGTTCAACGATCGTGGTTCATCAGACTCAATTGGAAGACCAAGAGACAGATCCTTTGATGGAAGAATGATAGGCCGGTGGAATTCTTCGAAAGCCGAAGGCGTCCACCAGCTAAGCGCACGTACCGCAACGGCCTCGAATCATGCATGATGAGCGGTGCGACTAGGCTCGATCAGGATTGGATGAGAATGGTCGAGTTACGAGGTGGCACCGGAATGACCAGCGGCCTGACTGGTCAATCATCGAGTCGTCTCCATTACACGATACTCACGATTTTGGACACGGTATTCTCGGCTACGGTGGCTGCTCCAGCAGTGGTCGGTTACTGGAGAGGAACATGGGGCTTGAGCGACGTCTACGTCTATCCCGAGGATCCGGTGCTGAGTAGCCTGACCTCGATTGTGATCGGTTTCATTGGCTTGTACGCGTTTAACGTGGTCCAACATGTTCTCAACGATTTACTGCACCCGGACAAGCACAGATTGTCGTACTACGTCGGCTCCAGGTTGTACACAGCCGTTTTCGGATTCTGCTGCGTAAATGCATGGCGCGGCGCATGGCAAGCTTTGGACCTCTACACGGAACTCACAGCCGGCACCGTTTTCGCAACCACCGCCGTTAGTCTGCTGGCATTGGCCATCATGCGAGCCGTCAGGAACATTTCCGCACCACCCTTTACCGTTTGTCTGGACTCATGTCCAGGGTACTTCGAAGTGCAGACCATGTTCCGGGTGAACGTAAGTAAATCGACGGTTAATCATGGAATGGAGCGGGCACTGTCAGGGCGCAAATCGGAACTTTGCTCTTATGGTATCCAAGTTCTTCACAATCTCCCAATCTCAAAATTTTATATACCTTAACGCGACCTAAGACTCGTGATGCACCACTAGTCGTTATATTTTAAATTTACATTTGACATATTTTAGTGAATTCTCTGATATCCTAAAATCATTTGATACTTTGAACTTCAAAATGTGTCGTGCTATATGTAATCGTTTCTACGAACATCAAAAAACTTTGTCTCAAAATATCATAGAAGAGTTGATTTTTGAAAGTATTCGGTAAATGTTAAGTAGGAAATGTAAAAGCTTAGACAGCATGTTTTGACGCATCACTGGAACTAGAACCGTGCGATGCACGCTATCGATGTGTAAGGTATAAGCACAGTTTCCGGCTGTCTCTCCCGACAATCGAACAGCATTGCGTCCATGCACGCACGAGCTCGAGCCAGTAATTGCAACAATTTCGATGTTCACCGTATTCTCGAATAATTATCTGATATTTTACAAATTTTCTCTTGGAAATCTATTTACGATATTTCATTTGGAACGTAAGGTATTGTGAAAAGGAAACAGCTTTTATTCGATGAATAAAAGTGATTGAAAATAATATTTATTGTATGGATAAACGATTAATTGATACGTTGAAAAAACAGCGGAGACAGTGAAACGTTCTTAAATTAATTATCGTCAGTTGAGTCCTCTTTATCACTTAAAAATCGAGGACAGAAGGGTGTCATGCAAAGTAAGCGGATGGTACACTCATATGAAAGTTTACCTCATACATGGTACATCGACCGGAAGATCCTTCGAACTTTCAGTCATCGATATTCACAAAATGAACGATTAGAATTATGCGCCAACTTACAACTATTGAAGATTGTTTAATTATATTTCTGTTAAACTTTGTATTTAATCAGAACCGTCGAGGCCTGATCAAAAATTGAATTGACAATTTGAAATCTTGTAAGTTTTGTTTGTTTAATCATTTTAATCTTGAAAATTTAATATTGTAATGTTATTGATATTCAATTTTGTAGAGAAGAATTAATGCTTATCGAAAGGTTAATTACAGATACATTTTATAATAAATAATCTTTGACTTTAGCGATTCTCATGATATTCAATTTATCATAGATTCCGAGCCTCTTCAAATATTTCTCGACTTGTCACCTGTAAATGATGCTTATCTATTGTTTATGTTGCTTGATTGCAGAACACGAGGGACTGGTCGTTGTACTTATTGGATTGTGCCTTCAGCGTTGGTGTCGTTGGTACTTTGGTCGTGTTCGTTTGGAGAGGTGTTTGGATACTTTTCGATCTCTACTTGTTCCCAGAAGATCGAGAGTACTCCGCGATCGGATCTCTTGTAAGTGATATCTTAATTCAAGTACTTCGATCTTTCAATTTCGAATTTTGTGAAATTACAAACATTCAGAGTCTCTAATATTCTTGATAAATTATCTAAATTATTTGAATAATTAGTTGTAGCATTCAAGTAAACTAAGAGATCCTCGTGTATGTACAATTATCCTCCGAATTCCCTTGCACAAAATTCGTGAAAAATCGAATAGTCGTTAATCAGATTTGTGGAACTAGAATTCTGCTAAATCGATGAACACGTGTTATCGGGTGTCATTAGCAATCACGTGTTGAACGACATTTTGAAACGTGCCACCTACGCGCACTGCTCGAGCGGCACGCTGTTGGTCCGATTGTATAATTGAATATTCGCCAATTGCATGATTGTAGGGGCACATGACAAAACTGTTGATGTGCTTGTGTGAGTGTGTGAGTGTGTAAGACACTTTATTACGAGCTGCGTTTACTTGTCTGAATACGATGCGGAGAGAACGCGGTCAACGAGAGGATTTGTTTAATTTTTCAATAATGACGATCGTTGATCTTCAGTCTGCTCGACTCGATTAAATGTTACCCATAGCGGGGCAAAATATGTTCTCCAACTTTATTTTTTTCCGAAGATATTTTCGGATCCTCATCGACTCTCATTGTTCCTCCAAAGATCATTTATCGTTCATAGATCAATTTGCCTAGACGTGATCCCGTCACGTTAACCATCACGAATGCAGACGATATTTCGTTGCAAACGCGTTAGCAAACAAAGATGATCCCACGCAAATATTTCAACATTGCCAACTTAAGCTGAGCCTGTGGAATTGTTCTGTTGCAAAATAATATACAACTGGCGCCATGCTTTCGACGCGACAACAATCGTGACGATAGCGACGATTTTTATGATAACTCGAGATTCTCTGCCGATTAACCCCTTGACTGACAGGCGTGCAGTGTCATTTTCGTGGCCACTTTTTCATCGAAAATACTTGAGAAAGATCTCAAAACAAAAATCTCGTAAACAAAGGCCATCCTCTATATTTATGTGAATTTGATATAGAAAGAAGTATTGTTTATACAAAAAAATCTTCAATTGGATCAAAAACAATTGTAAGCAATTCGATGGATACAAATGATTTCTAGTAAAAAATTTTTATCAGAAACGATCGAACGGAGGGTGAGAAGAAGGAAACTTCAGACATCAGATTAAATTCTCGATGATTTATCGAGTGATCGTATCGATTGCTTTCCGAATTCGATAACTCGGAAAAATCCAGTAAAAAGTAGGAATCCCTCAGACACGTTTTCTGTTATCAGCGACCTTAGCGAGTAGACTTTGTCGGTCCCTAATCTATCGTTTATTCCTCTGAACTGTTAATCTCGAACGTCGGAAGATTCGTACAGATAAATCAAAATGGAAATCGTATTACGCTTATCGAAGATCAAAACAGCTCATTGTTATTTAAAAACGTTTAAAAATAATTTTACTTGTATATTTTTAGAATTTAAATAAATTATCTCTGTAAAGGCGACGACGAAAAATCAGCTGCGTGTTCGAAATCCTTACGAGAAGCCCGATACGATTTGCGCGATGATCGCGGTAACATAAATTCTCAAGAGGGTCGATGATTGCGCGAGGGTCATCCAATTCACGCATTTACTCGCTCGCAATGCCACTTCGAAACCGTGAAACAGCCACGGACGATTTGTCGACTGATTCGCTCGCATCTCTGCGATCTGCAATGCCCGCCTCTTTTGTCCATTCCGACAAAAACGCATTCTCCGTGTTAAAAATTATTTCTAAAATAATTTGCATGTTTAGACACCCCGTTATTTTTAACAACCAGATTAGATAATTGATAGCTTATTTAGTTCCCAAGATTTACACGGCGAGTAAACTTCCCGTGGGAATAGCTCGCTGAAACAATCGTCGATTGTTCAGTTTAAAATAATGTTACTAAATCGGTTCTAAATCGAGACGCCCAAACGTGTCAGTTGAAACTGTCGATGATTCGATACCACTGACGAAAAGCGGACAAAAAGCGGACGTGCAGTTCTGGCACATCCTCTGATTCATTCGCAGTACAAACCTTATGTAGAATAATATAACACAACCTTCATATTTCCCTATTAGATAAAATACCGATTACAAACTGTTTTTGTTTACATATTTGTAAATATATGAATCTACAAACTTATCATGTCACCATAACAGCTTCTCACCTTCGAGAATACACTCCATCCTCAAATCCCTAGCTACCTAACTACCCAATTCACTTGTTATTCCCACATGATTCATGCGAGTAAAATTTCGACAATTGCTCGTTTGATTGCAGGCCATCGGATACGTGATAGTTACAGTGACGTTTTCCCTTCAGCCTTTGATGAGATACGTGTGTGCTCGTCTTCAAGGTCTGGCCCGGTTGGTCGCAGCAGATTGTTTCCTCTTGCTGAGTTTTCTGGGCACGGTGAACGTGTGGCGGGGTATCTGGAACGTGCTGGACCTTTGGCTGTTACCCGAGAATCCAGAATTGTCCTGCTGGATCACACACGTCGGATGCTTCGTTTTCCTCGTACTTCTCAATTGTAGCAACTCCATACTCGTGAGGGGCGTTTACATCGATGCCGAAGAGGACGACGGCAAATGCGTCGCGTTTCCTTGCCATTATCTTCGATTGTTCTTCAAGGTTAGTTGATTGAAGACGAGCAATATATTTCAACATGAGTAAAATATTGAGAACAGTATTAACAACGTAGTCTTAAAATTTGATGAAATCTTAAAATGTATTGCCGTCCAATAAATGATCATTTATGTAGCAATTACCTGCAAATTTTATAAAAAAAAGATTCTATACCCAAGAATTGGTATATGAAGCGATAAGAGGATTTATGTTTCCGTTCATTTCAGGTCGAACGCGAAAAGAAAGAAGCGAGACGACGAAATCTGCTGGTAGCCTCGAAGGACTTCCGGCCACGAGCAGACGGAAATGCCAAAGACGCTGAGAACGGAGCTCTTCTACCAAACAGCACCGCCACGACCATCTTACCAACGAATCCTGAATCTCTCGTCTAATTACGAACATCGTGCAAGTTCGACTACAATACTCTTCTGATCATCGTCGATAGATACTCCTCGAGTTTGTGCCAAAACCGGTGATCGTGCAGTGACATTCCAACAATCGAACGCTTTACACGGTCTTTGTACCGAAGTTGTCGAAAATAAGGCTGTAACGAACTACGAAATAAGGTAAACGATGAAATAAACGAAAGAAATAGCGCGATAAGAGCATACGATCGACAGATAGATGATGTAGGTAGACACGCAGATAGACACTTAGAAAATCGATTAAGTTAGACGGACAATTAGAGGAGTGGACACGAACAGGATCGACGAATATTGAAATTCAACGAAGGACTAAGTGAATGGCTGTGAGTGAGGATTGATTAACACGTGTCTGTATATAGTAAACTGTAATCAATTGCACGTAATTGATGTTTCTTCTCTTTTTATCGTGTGCGAGTGCGCGCGGCAATAAGTGTATCCACGTGGATAAAAAGCATCGTGTAGGAGCAGTTTACTCGTCATCCTCGAAGACGCAGATGCGTGTAATGTAAGTTGTACAGTATATATGACACTAGAGCACGCGTGTATGAGACTGTCAAAATTTGCGCACCAGAATTATTCGAATAATTTCAATTCGAATGTTGCGGTTCCAATATACATGCGACCTCTTGCGATTACGCGTTCATTTATAATGATTTGTGCCTTGACACTCAAGCAGTGATAAGATGTTGAAAATACTACCGAACCGGATATTACATTAACTCGAACGATTCATGTTGCTAGCGAAGTGTGGAATGGATTTCGTTGAGATATTTACTCGATGATTAAGTTGTTAAGAGGGTATACCTACTTAGACCAAAAAGACACCATACTTTCTTTTCGTGGAAAATTTCAATTACGTCTCTTATTTTATTTGTATATTAATACTCTTTGGAAGAAATTATCAAGAAGTGATTTCTGGGTAATATATTAAATTATCTAGTCAGACTGAATAATTCAAAGTAGGTGCTCTCTTAATTAACGAGCGAAGAAAAAGAAGTTCGTCAGCAAATCCTGTAGGATTTCTTTCTAGTCATCAAATGATAATCACCGCTTTCAAACGCGTCGATATCTGTCGATCAATCGAATTTATTTCATTCTCTCTTTATTGCCATACACTTATGATTATCGAAAAGTGTACACTTTGCGATCCTAGAGTTAGATGAGACCTTGATGATGACAATGGTAATAGACTGGACTCGATCATTATAAATGGGTTACAACCTTCTCCCCCGCATCCTGTACACCCCGCAGTTTTTGCTCTTGTACATCAATTACGACGTCATGGCGTACTAATAATTAATTAACTGGAATAATGACGGGACAATGGGCGACTGGCACATCGATGGGAAGTGGCTAGTTCGACGATAAGCGGACTGCCCTCCTGGCCTACATTTAATATTTTCACAATGAACAATACGATGAGTCGTGCCGGAAGTTTTCCTACGATGTCCCACAGAAAAACCGGTATCGATCGCGTCCGATCGACAGAAACTATCACCGCTCACGCTGCCTCTTCGTCGAAATTCGTATCGCGAACCAAGCGCACAAACTACTTTGCGTTCAAAATCATAATGTATATTTATAAGCAACTTTTATCACGGGTTGATTGAAATAAAAAATGAGAAAATAAGATGACGAATGAAACAAGTATTTGCAAGTTGTATAATAAAGAAGTTTTATCTTTTTGATCCGCTTCTATGAAATCAGCGAGGTTAATGACTAGTAGACATTTAGGATACGATACTTTTTCACACAACTGGTCTTGCAATTTAGCACGGAACGCTACAATACGCAAGTTCCCATAAAGTTTCACTTCCACTACAAAATTCGATTGAACTTTAAATACGTTCGGACAGTATGTGATTTCGAACGTCCATCAACGATCTCTTCGACAAGCGGAGGACGATACAGCAGCGATTCGAAGGGTAATTAAAAATATAGAGAAGGGTCGAGCAAGGGAATGCTCGATGTTTGGAGGACGACAGTAAAGTAACACAGCCACCGATCGATCCTCGATCGATCTCGATTGGATTTTCCTCGACAGGGGTGGGGAGTCTATTTGAGGCGTCGCGACGCCGTGGTGCAATGATCAGAATCAGTCGGTAGGTCGCATCACGGCGAAAGGTGAATCGTGGCTGTCTGAGTAGGTGGAATTGTAGCCAAGTAGCTCGGACACTACATACTTGTATGCTGATCACGTACCGGGAACTTTTCGAACTTTCGCGAGTCGAAGTGAAATTTTTCAAGTGAACCCTCTTTGTTTTCATAGAATGGCAGCGGACGACCCCCTCCGCAACGAACCTCTAGTTTCCGTTGAATTCGAGGTCTTTGGCAAGGTGCAGGGTAAGACTTTTATCGGTCAGAAGGTCGTTCAGTATTCGATTAACTAGAAACTTTAAACAATTAAAACGTTCTATGTATCAGCAGGGACTGTAATTAATTTTTCGAGGTTCTACCTTACCATTCACTAGTTCCTTTAGTATGGAGTTTCTTAATTCGATTGTAGAAAAGTTGAGCTGATAGTACTGGTAGCAAGTGTTTATAAGTTAAAGAATTATATATAAATGAGTCTATCACACACTACTGCTGTATTCGTCAATAATTGAGGACGTTTCAGCAAAAACAATGCAGCATGTTTGACAGTTTCTTCTAAACTAAAAAATAAAAATTTGCAATCTCGATAAACATTACTTATTATGTGAAATATTGTTCAATTAGTATTTTCTTTTTAAGGACTTTTTTTAAACCCCTCAAAATTGATGCATCTTTTTAGTTGCAAGGTCCTCGGTCTGACGTTGATTAATCGACTTAATTGAATGTTGAACACATTTTCAGGTGTGTACTTTCCAAAATACGTGAAAGATATATGCCAAGAGTTGGGAATTTGCGGTTGGGTGAAGAACACGAAAACCGGCACGATACTAGGAAAAATGCAGGGACCACGTGCGCTCGTCGATCAGATGTGAGTTGCGATTCCTTGTCACGAAGCCTTTGCAAAGCGTCGGGCGCCGATCGGTAAACAATGTGAAAGTTCATTTTTATTGAAATTTATCTGTCCCTAAGATTACTAAGAACCAGATAAAGTAAGGCAAATTTACAGACGAGCATCTTTGCTACGCTCCACTTTTCATTCTGCAAAATAAAGGGAACAAAGAAAGTGGAATCAATTTTTCATTCAGTCAATCGTACAAGGAAATATCAAACTTTTCAAAGTGTTTTCGCTGAATTAAATTAATTTTGAAATCGCGATCGGTAACTGCTACGTGATCAGGGTGGAACAGCGACAAAACCTTTTTATATACACGTGCCAAAAATTTATAAATAATATTTATCGAGTTGATAACGTGCCAGTTTCTGAACTAATAGAAAATTAATTAACGTAAAATTGTATCGAAACGAAGAGTTTCGTAAGAATGAACTCATAACTTGAAATACACGTAGCAACGTTGAATAATTTATATCATTTGGGAATCGTTAAGGTGAGATCCAAATTCTTCTACTTTCTGACATGCTGCAGGATCGTCACTGAAGTAAAAGCATATTTTTGTTATTTCATTTTTCTTCGTTCCACGAATTCGTGATAACGTAAGCCCACAAATTTAGTGCTCCCTTAAAATCGCGTGACCTTAGCCGCAAATTGACGAGTAACAGCCATTAGGTAGTTGGGCCTGACTTTAATAATGATCTAATGAAATAATAGCGCGAACATCGTCGTCTCTTTCCTTCGCCAGTTATCACCGAATCGTACCAACTATTTTCCAACAGCCTATTCCCAAACGTACAGTTGATCCTTCGACGAACAATCGTATTCTTGTTGCATTAAACAAAACAGAAAAATACGCTGACGAATCGCGTTAACAAAGATACAATGTAAACGAGCGGTATTGACAATAGGATGGAACTTTACGATGTCACGCGTTTCTACGAGCTTTCAAGAAGGAAACGTAAACACATTGGCTGGAAAAAGGGCAAAGCCTGAGATACAATGGTCTAAATTACTTCTTATATTATTTCTCTAATTATTTCATTTTATTAACTTTTGTTAAGACACTGCGTTCTTAATTAATGTAACAAAATGAGACCTCCATGATCCACAAGAACAGCATAAATTAATTTATATGGCTTTTGAAAATAATGCAAGGAATTATACGACATGAGTTATTAAACAAATTGAATTTCACGCGTTGAAAAATGAGAAACGAAACAGGGACAACAAATCTATGGGACGCCAACGAAAGAACAAGAGATGTGAAGGATGTAATCGTTATTTAGAGAAGTAAGCCAGACCTACTGATCCATATATATATTTTGCCAGTTGCGTACAGACAATAGAAAGACGAATTATTTGACATCGAACAAGATTATTGCTACATGAACAAATATAAACTTGAATACAGTCATAAAAACTTGTGACTAGAAAACGTCCCAGGAGGTCAAATTTACTCTGTTCGTGAACCTGAAGTTAAAGAAAATAGCTCGGTCGAGGACGATACATCGGTCTTTGGCTTTCCCCCAAAAGGAAATCAACTAGATTGAACTTCGTTCCAAAATCATTTGCTTATTGTATTTACAAACAAAATTGAAATACAACTTGGCACAATTGCGTAAGACACCCTGTATATAAAAACTCTATATGACCATGATTATTTCAAGAACCAATTGTTTCATTATTGCACAATTCGCCTGTAATTATGTTATAACGAAAAAGGGACTTTTTCATTCCTTATAAAGGGATTTTTACTTCAAATGAAAAACATAAATGATTGTGAAGAAAAGAACTATTCGATGTCTATAATGCTTAACAGGAAAAGAAATTTATTGCGATAAAGTTATCCTACAATTACATCTGTAGGTCAAAAATATTGATAATAAAGTGGATCGCATTGATAATCTGTTTGTATTGTTGTCGCGAGACAGCTGATCGAATTTAAAGATCCTACTTCGATACAGCCGCTTAAAATACTCCAACTCGGTCTGATTAACCGCTAATTATAATTGCGAAGCGTGCGAGATTACAGTCGTGATCGTGGCATATACAATGTGCACCAGGTACCTATATAACTGATCATTTTTATATAAATTGTTAATCAAGGAACCTGTAATGAACGAATTCTATTTTGTCTTCTTGATCTAACATCTTATGGAGTTCCATAGAATACCTGAAAATAGAGTGATTTCGATGCATGGAAAGGAGAGACGATTTTAGAAAAAATAGAATATAAACTACTAAAATATCGTGTGTTAACATTTCCAGCATATGTATTTTTAAATTGTTATTCTTTATACTTTATTTATTGTATAATATGTCATACAGTACACTCTTGTTATATTGCCATCGCCGAATTTGTAGGAGCGTAAAAATATTCAGTTAACTAAAAAGTTTTCGTGGAGTCGACGTTTACGTAAAACTTGCAACTAGATTATCTTGTAAAGGCTTACAGCTTAACTAATATTCTAATGAGAGAATGAATTAACATTAGATTGTTTTGTTTCAGGGCGCAATGGTTAACGACAGTGGGTAGTCCAGGCAGTGAAATTGAACGTTGCGATTTCACGAATTGGGAAGGCATTTCTAGGCTACAATATAAAGGATTTGTCATACGTTTTTAGCAAACAAAAACATTTGGAAATACAAGTTAAAAAACGATAAATAATACTTTATAAGAAAATGATTAAAGTAGTTAAAAAATATATATGTATGTATATATTTTAACTGCTTCAATTATTCCTACACGTGTACATATAAATAGGAGGATTGAAACTTATTTAAAAACCGGAAACTGAAGATTTAACTTGAATGAAATACTTTTTAATGAAATGACGTACTAAGCTTTAAATTCTTTTCCTGTATATCATGAAAGATTTAGAAACATAAAAAGTACAACATAATAAATTAAAAAGACGAACTGAAGCACAAACAAATTTATTGAACTTATTTATCGCTACATATTAATTGTATGTTGGAATATCATGTTGTACCTTCATAAATAAACATTGCATCTAACATTAACTGCGCAAGATGATATTCAGAATGTTTTTCAGGTAAATGTGTAGAAACTCTCCGTATCAATTCAATGGTATCATCGTTTGAACAATTTGTACAAATCACTTCCGTTGCGTTCTAGAACAATGATTATATCGATAAATCTGTTAAAATAAGAGAAAATCAATTTTATGTTGCGTACTACTTACTAAACTTTCTAAATATTTAGTAAGAGCAGGACTTATACGAGAAACTTCCTCTAAAAGATCAGGAGTTTTTGAAAGATACGCCATCATTCGTCTTCCTGCTATTGGCAAAAGATCAGCTGCCAATTTCTCAGTGTCATTTACAGCTGTAACTACCTATTTGAAAATATTGAATATAAAATACATACTAGCTACATAAGAAAATATAATCAAATCTATTAAATTATAATTTCCGTAGCGTACCTCTTCTGCTAATCGATCAAAACCATTTACATATAATTGACAAACTTGATGTATCCTTAATTCGTCGTTGTTAATTTTCCAAATAGATGCCAGCGTCTGGCATCTACTCATCCACTCAATAGCTTGCATTGAACTTATCATGTTACTATCTACTGTTTCTTGATGAATAAAATCCATTGACGCAGTAATTATTCTACATAAAAATTCTGTTCTTAAATTATCTCTTTTATCATCTCTATACCATGTAAGCATTATTTTATCTGTCATAGTTTGAAAGAAATATGGTTGTACCTATATACATTTAAAATTAAATATATTTATATAAATAACAACTGGGCAAACATGTATCTAATACAATAATTTACCTACCACCGATTCAAATAGATTATTTAATGGTTTCGTTACTTTTAAATTAAAATGAGCCATCATGTATAAGACATTGGCTAACTGTACATGTAACATTATTAAATCGTACCAAGCAGGTGCTTGGGAAATAGCTAATGCAGCAAACGGTTGTGGTCCAGAAGTACATCCTTCCCATAATTCCTCTGATTTAATTATGGCAATGTCTTCTGCCTCGAGTACTTCTGACTAAACCAATATTATAAAATGTTCGTATAATATTAACTAAAAAAACATTACGTAAAATATTTACTTGTTATAAACTCACGTCAACAAATATTTCTAAAAATGCAACACAGTGTTGTAAAAATGAAATTGTTTGTACATCTGATAAACCAATCTCTTGTAAACATAGTCTTTCCTTCGGTAATTTCCCAAGTTTATTAATTAATTTTGCAACTGCTTCCATCCGTTTTTTTATATGAACTGACCATAATAAGCAACATACACCTTCACAAAAATTAATATTTTATGTGTAGAAAATTAAAGACACATATTTAACAGTAATAATAACTACATTATTTACCGTGCCTCATACGTTTCAAGGGTATTTGTTGTAAAACGGATAATGCAGCTTCGAGAGACTTTAATTGCGAAATATCTTTATTCCAAGACATTGCAAATTCCCAGCACACATTTGCTAATAGTACACTACTTGTCAAACTATATGGAAAATGGTTTTTTAATAACTTAATTCTTTCTGAAAATTTTAAGAAGGTAGTGTAATTGTTAATTTAAATATATTTTAGACGAAAATGTATAATAATTTACCTAGAATATATGTACAAGCAGTTGCGTCATTTTTCACTTCACTTTCTTTTTCGAGTGATTCTGACAAAGGCGCTTCTGAATCATGTTTTACATCATCGTTACTAGTTTCATCTAACGATTCTATTACTTCAAAAGGATCCTTTGTTACTTTCATATGATCAAATTCGGTGTCTGTTGTATCCACTAATAAAGCTGGATCAATACCAGTGGAAACAATCCATTTAGCAACAATTTCTGATACAGAACCTAAATACAATAATGATTATATTACGTGCATATAAAGTGTACATAATTACATTAAAACTGTATATACCTTTTCCCTTTGATAGAACTGAGCTTAAAGAAATATTCATTTTTACAAATGGTAACGCAAGAAACTGTGTTGTTTCATCTGATAGAGGTTTCTGACTAAAATTATAATATTATAGTAATAAGACAATCTTCTATTAGCAATAAATTTTAATGCTAATTACCTTACAATAGCATCTAAAATTGTAATATCCTCGAGATTACCGATAAGTAACGTAAACTGACAACTATCTTTCGTAACATTTTCCCATTCGTTTGTTAAATTATACGTTTCATCATCCAACTTCAGATTATTAGTAATACAATCTTTCAAACGATTTACTTCCTCTAAATAAGTAACATCTTTAACATCTTTCCCTTCATTACCATTATTATCTTGCGTTTTGTTGCTACACTTTTCCTTGTACTTTTCTAGAGACATAGCAACAGCTCTGCACATTACAGCAGCACTAAGTGCATTAAACGGATTGAATGATTCTGAAAGGATATTACGAACATTTTTCCACCATAAGGATGTTTCATTATATTCTGCGCATATTTTTTCAATATCTATAAACAGTAAAATTTATATTATAATATCAACGAATAAATCATATAAATTGCACATAGACGCATCTAAAACTTACGAGTCATTGAACAAATTGCAATCAAAAGTTGTGTGAATTGTTTTAATTCAACCCTTAAGCAAGTATTCGTTTCTTTATTAAGCCAGTAAATTAAAGCCAATTCCATTAAAACAAATGGTTGTATATTACTATTTGTAGCAGCTTCTTTCCATGTTGCAATTTTCTCATTGGAGCACATACATCCTTGGTACATCAACTGAGCTAAAAATCATATTAAAGAAGAAAATTTTATTTCCAATCTGCAAAGAATATGATATATACTTTGAAAGTCACAAAACTTACAAATTTGATATTTCATTTCTGTTTCTATGTTTTTTTTCATATCTATCAATCCTGAAATGCCAAACTCAAAGCATGATAAAAAATCTAAAAAAATTTTATTATCTTCTTTAAATTTCACTTTATTTTCTGTTTTAATGTTCAAAGGTTTAAAACTAATTACTGAATTAAACAATTCAAAGATTCGATTCACTTCTTTCTCAGAAGTTAATAAAATCAAAGCTAAATCTTTATTGCTCAGCTCATTATGAGTATCACTAGCGCTAAATTGATTAAGTGCTGAAGTATCAGACTGAAGTTTAATATGTTTATAAAATTCGATCACTTGTTGCAGTTGAGATGATAATAAGTAAACTGTTCTAGCTGTAAGTTCCATCTCCTCTTTGTCTGAAATTTATAACTCATGTAATTCGTTATTTAAAGTTACACTTACATAAAAGTGTTAGCAACACATACCATATTCATTTAGTTTTTTAATGAAACAATTTGCAGCTGCAAGTAAAGCATCGGGTATAATATTCTTATTTGACATTAACATTTCTATGGTTTGTATTCTTATTTCATTGGTTTTTAAATCAGAACAGACGTTCTGAATTTCTGATATTAATTTCTCATCGTCAAATTCTTCTTCCCGTAAAAAGGTTTTTAATTTTTTAAGTAAATGTATATCACGAGCCCTTTTGCCGCTTTTATTGTTTAGAGAAAAATGAAATGGAACGGTAATTTCTTTCAATCCCCCAAGCGGATCCATAAAAACACAAGAATATTGTGGTTTATTTTTTGATAAATAAATATTATCATTTACTCCAAAAAGTCCATAATTGATGTAAAGCAATCTACACAATAACATCCGAATTAGTTATTTCATGCTTTTTTTTTTTTATAAAAATACATAAAAAAAAATTTACCGTCCATGTTTACTAGCTGTAAATGTAGTAATTTTAGGACCTTGTTGAGTACTCCAAATATCTATCACGCCCTTTTTTGGAGCATAAATAACTAAAAATAATGCTGAACGCAACTGTGATGTCTGTTTAAATTTATTAAATTCTTTGTGCATTCTAGAGTGCTTTTCTTCCTCTACTTCAATCCACCCACACTGAGCATCTCGATAACCTTTCCACATTCTAAGAGCTATTCCACATCTGTTATCTATTAATATTACTCTACCCATTGCATCTATTATCACTGACAATGTTTTATTTGGACTGGATATTATCGAATAACCCTCTCGCATTATATCACTCAGGCCAAATCTACATGTCATTGGCTCAACTGGTTCATGAGCACTAGTTTTTACTGTTTCAAGGGATGGTTGGTGTTTTGAATTGCCCCAACTGAGAGGAAGCCAACTAAACAAATAAAAAAAATTCTCCATATTATTTAAATAAAAAAAGAAAAGACAAAAATTTCACTGACAACTTCAATAATCGTACAAATGATAATAATGCCTGATACATTCAATTTCTAATAATTATATAAATATAAATATATTATGTAATACTCACGGAACAGCAGTTCCTATAGCATTTGCTAACTTATTGGCCATTGCTATTGCAACATCCGATAGCACAGGTGCTGAACCACCTTCTAATGCATAGTGAAAACCAACAAATGGTCGTTTACCAGTTGCAATAACTAAATTATGCTGAGGAGCACTAGATCTATAAGATGCATTGTATCCACCACAAATAGAAGCTATCATCAAATGATCAAAACTATTTACAGATGTAGTACCAATCACTTCTGAATCATTTACAATATCCTGACTTTTATAGCCCCATTTTTTATATGATAAATTTGTAATTGGTGGTAAATCATCACAATTTGCTTGTACTATTAATATAAAGGACATTGTCGTTAATATTAAATAGATTTAGTATGAATAAAAATCTTTAACATACTTGTATTCTTGTACCTCTAGCTAAATAATTTCTGCAAGCTCGTAATGTGGAAAATAAAGAAAAACCTTGTAAGACACATACAACAGTATTGTAAGTTACATGCACTTCTTCAGCTAAACCAGTATCACCAGTGTGTTTAGGTGAACGAAATGACTGACATTTTAATCCTATTACTGGCTCATTATGTAGTTGTTCCCCTAATAATAATGCACCTGTCTAATTTGAAAATATCTTTGTAGCAAAACAAATTTAATTTAAATAATATAAATACATTTCACAATTATTATTTTATCTCAATATAAATAAATTGTGATTACAAAATATACTTACTTCAGTATAAAACCTAACATAACCAGTATTAAAACCAACTATAATACATGTCCAATCTGGATTATTACCACTGCTGACTTTTCCCAGAGACAGTAAAGGTAAACAAATGATAGATGTTATCCATTCGCTAAAAAACACTTTCAATATACGGACATATTTTCAAAAAAATTCGTAATATTAAAATAATATGAAACTTAATATAATATTATTACAATAAAAACTCACTTTGTTTCTTTTGTAACTTCACCATACCATATCATATGGAATTTGTTCTTTGTCTCTTCCACTTCTAAAGAATCCCATCTTGCTAATATAAAATTATAGTAGTGAGTATCGATACAAACAAAACTTGTTATCACTTCCCTTAATATTTACTATTATTCTTAGATGAATTATAAATAGACATTAGATCTTTATGCAAATGCATATTTTCACAAAAAATAAATAACAGTAATAAGACAATTCATATAACTCACATACATTTTCCTTATACTTTATATATTTTAACTATATTTCACATATATCTTGCATGTTTTAAGATGTCATGATTGCATAAACATTTAATGTCAAGTTATAAGCATTGTATTATATAAATATATTGTTTGAATATTAAAAAAATAAACATGCAAAGAATACATACAAATTAATATGATCAGCTTTGTATTATATGCCATAGTAAGAACATCTCCAGTTGATGATAATGATATAAAACAATCTTGAAGTGGTAACTCATTTTGTGGAATGTCAACTAAAAAAAATATCAGTATTAACATTCGTTATTTCTTAACAGGATAAAATGAAAAAACAATATCTTACACTTTGTAGTAGAATCTCCAAAAAGCAACTCCTTGATATTACTAATGTTAGTCAAATTTGCAATTCCTTTTATCTGACAAGACATGTCTGATCAATTTTATAAGTATATTTATTTCCAAAGACATATAATTTTCTTCACTTCATTATAATATACTGATCAGCTGGTTAAACTATCGACATTCTAACGTACACATCCAACAAAAAGATAACAATTTCGCAAACCGTCATATGCTTGCAAGCAGGATAGTAATCACAGAGATTCTTCATTCGAACATTCAGATTTAATGACAAACAGCAGTAAATACGACACTCTTATTACATTACAATAACAATGCAGCAAAAATCACGAGTAAAGAGAATCATGTAAATGATTATACGAATTGTCAACGCACATTAGGGATTAAAACCTAAATATGCAGTATTTATTCGTACGAAATATTGAGTAAATTGCAAGTCAAAATGGAGAACACGTGTTGCATGACATCACGTGACGTAATTTGTGACGTTTGGAAACAGCCGCTAAAATTTTCTTGATTGGTCGAAATATTTGATCCGAACCAATAGGAACATCCGTCTCTCCGCAATGGTCCGCGTAATGTGTTCAGCCATTTTGTTATTATTTTCGAAAATCTGTAGGTTGGATTTAAGCACGACGTAACGTTCCTGTTTTTCTCCTTTCTCGTTAAAAGTGAAGAGAAAAATAATCAATTCTTATGAGATCTAGAAAACAAAGTTACGACGAAGAACGGCCTCGGTGGGTATCGCGCATTTACAAGTGGAGCTCTCTTCGCTGACGATCGTCGTAAACGGAGCAGAGACAGGAGAAACGAGCGAGAGAACGTGAGAAAGATAGAGAGAGAAAGAGACGGTGAGGAACAGTGAGTGTGTGAAACGAGGAACGAAATTGGTCGCGCGCGGGAATCAGCGGTTGTGTGTTTGGCCTTTTTCTGATTGTGATTTATTCCGAGAGATTGTGATTGCCAGTGTGAAACGTGTGTTTTTTACCTACCAAGTGAGAATCTACGTGTTGGAGTTGATGCGGTATGTTCGAACGTCGCTTACGATACTTTATTCGTTGAACAACGACGCAATGAATAAAGTGCGCCCGGACAACAAATATCTACGAATTTCAGTGATCTATCGTTAATATTATAAATGCTTATCAATTTCTATTTCTGCTTAATTATATACATTAAGCAAAGTACTTTTTATATTTGATTTATAAACATTGCGCACAATAAACTTCCACATAACCTTATTTACGATTGTCAAATGTAGGTTAGGTCGAGCGGTCGCAGTGCGGTGACCTCCCTCGCTGCATGTTAACAGTGATTTCGTAGTTTATTATTGCTTCTGTTTAGTTTGTTCCATTATACATATCGTATTTTATATCTTGCAATATTTTTCATTTGGTTACAAATAGAAATAAATGATTCTTATTTAAAAGTAATACAGTATTGGGCAGTACTATTGTCTCCACTGAATTTTTTTTGCATTTTTCTAGTAGAATTATAACAATGTAAAACACACATTTTAATAAAAATAATAAAGTAATTATAAACATACAGTATTTACTGTATATATATTGCTTGTTGATATTAAAGATAATTAAGCGTATTCATATTTATGATCATATCTTTGGATGTAATATCAGAAATGTTTATTTCATTATATTACATTTACTATTTATTGTTTTGTAAAATAAATTAATCTCTTTTGCAATGTTAGAACTTCATAATATTTTTGCTTATATTTTTATGTATTATTAACTTAATTTTAGTAACTTAAACAGTTATATAAAATTTCATTGTTTTCAGATAGAGTGTATGAAACTGGATAACTTATAATAATGGCAACGTTAGAAGAACAAGCATCAAAGCTTTTGGATTTTAATCAGAAGCTAGATATAACGCTTCTTGATAATATAGTAGGTTGTATGTATAGTGGGATAGGTGAGCAACAAAGAGTTGCACAAGAAGTATTAACCACACTTAAGGAACATCCAAATGCATGGACACGTGTAGATACTATTCTAGAATATTCACAGGTTAATATTATTAATTTAGGTTGCTTATAAACTTAGCAGAACTACTTTATTTATATATAATGTTATATGTATAGAACCAACAAACAAAGTATTATGCTTTACAAATATTGGAACAAGTAATAAAGACACGATGGAAAGTATTACCACGAAATCAGTGTGAAGGTATAAAAAAATACATTGTAGGCCTTATTATAAAAACAAGCAGTGATCCTGAGACAATGGAAGCTTCTAAAGTTTATCTTAATAAACTTAACATGATTTTAATTCAGGTAAGTCATTTTTATGAAATTGTATTGATTTATATCTTAATAAAACATATTTTATATATTTTAGGTGTTAAAACGAGAATGGCCAAAAAACTGGGAATCCTTTATTGGTGACATTGTCGGAGCAAGTAAAACGAATGAAAGTCTTTGTCAAAATAATATGACTATTTTGAAGTTATTATCAGAAGAAGTGTTTGACTTTTCCAGCGGACAAATGACACAAACAAAAGCAAAACATTTAAAAGATACAATGTGTAGTGAATTTTCACAAATCTTTCAACTCTGTCAGTTTGTATTGGATAATTCACAAAATGTTCCCTTAGTAGCTGTAACATTAGAAACACTTTTAAGGTTTTTAAATTGGATTCCCCTTGGATATATTTTTGAAACAGAATTAATAAGTACTTTAGTATTCAAGGTAATTAGAAACATCAATGCTTCTAATTATGTAAATTTGTTAAATATTCCTTTTTAACGTCCTTTTTTCTTTTTTTGCAGTTCTTGAATGTACCAATATTTAGAAATATCACACTGAAATGCTTGACTGAAATTGCTGGTGTTACAGTATCAACTTATAATGATATGTTTGTAATGTTATTTGTTCATACAATGAGACAATTAGAACAAATTCTACCACTTGATACTAATATACGTGAAGCATATGCAACTGGTCAAGACCAAGAACAAAACTTTATTCAAAATCTAGCTATATTTCTTTGCACATATTTGAAAGAACACGGTCAGTTCATAGAAAAAAAACAGTTGAATGACATGCTGCTTAAAGCATTGCACTACCTTGTTCTAATTTCTGAAGTTGAAGAAGTTGAAATATTCAAAATTTGTTTGGAATATTGGAACGCATTGGCAATGGACTTATATAATGGAAGTCCCTTCATAGCTCCATCACCAAGGAGATTATTCTATTGTTCAGTTCTAACAAAAGTGCGATACATTATGATCAGTAGAATGGCTAAACCAGAAGAAGTTCTTGTTGTAGAAAATGAAAACGGAGAGGTCGTCAGAGAGTTTATGAAGGATACTGATTCTATTAATTTGTATAAAAATATGAGAGAAACTCTTGTGTATCTTACTCATCTTGACTACGTGGATACCGAAAGAATAATGACAGAAAAACTACAAAATCAAGTGAATGGGTCAGAATGGTCTTGGAAGAATCTCAATGCAGTAAATATTCTTGAAATATTATAAAGTTTATAATAAAAGCTAATCTCTTACTAACAATTATAATTTTCCTATCAGTTATGCTGGGCAATAGGTAGTATTTCTGGTGCAATGCATGAAGAAGATGAAAAGCGATTTTTAGTAACAGTAATCAAAGATCTATTAGGTCTTTGTGAACAAAAAAAGGGCAAAGATAACAAGGCTATTATTGCTAGCAATATTATGTATGTAGTTGGACAATATCCAAGATTTCTTAGAGCACACTGGAAATTTTTAAAGACTGTTGTAAATAAACTCTTTGAATTTATGCATGGTAAGAATATTATATAACAAATTATGTATACTTGGAGTAGGTATTATTAATCTTATTTTTTAAATGACTTAAATTATTAATAAAAATTTCTTATAGAAACCCACGATGGTGTACAAGATATGGCCTGTGACACATTCATAAAAATTGCATTGAAATGCAGGCGACATTTTGTTACAGTACAAATAGGTGAAGCAGTACCATTTATTGAAGAAATTCTTTCCACTATTAGTAGTATCATTTGCGATCTACAAACTCAACAGGTAAAATTATTGAAGATGAATAAAATGCTACGTATTTATATATAAATAGTTTTAATTGTTCAATATGTATCATGTAATTTTTAATAATAAATGTTAAATATTTTTTTTTTCTTTTTTTTTTCGAATAATTTTATAGGTACATACTTTTTATGAAGCAGTTGGATACATGATAAGTGCACAGACAGACACAGTAGTTCAAGAACAATTAATAGAAAAATATATGCTTTTACCAAATCAAGTTTGGGATGATATAATAAGTCAAGCATCTAAAGTAAGTAATGTGTAATCTAAAGTATATTGAAATATATTTTACTTAAATCATATATATATTTTTTCTTTAGAATGTAGATGTATTGAAAGATCAAGAAGCTGTAAAACAACTTGCTAGTATTTTAAAAACAAATGTAAGAGCTTGCAAAGCTCTTGGGCATCCATACGTGATGCAATTAGGAAGAATATATTTAGATATGTTGAACGTTTATAAGGTACATTAATATAATTTATAATTTATTTAATGCTACATTAAGATGACATTTCTTAATATACCACCTGGTTTTCCAGGTAATGAGTGAAAATATAAGTGCTGCAATAGCTTTAAATGGTGAAATAGTAATGGAACAATCTTTAATTAAAAGTATGAGAGTAGTTAAAAAAGAAACACTAAAACTGATCTCTGATTGGGTTAGCAGAACACCTGATCATCAAATGGTATGAATACACGACATAGATGAAACTTTCTTATAAAATTAATATCACTATTTGCCATATTTTCAGAATAACTTTGTTTCGTTCGTACGTTTTATAGGTCTTAGAAAACTTTATACCGCCACTATTGGATGCTGTGTTATTGGACTATCAAAAAACAAATGTTCATTGTGCTCGAGAACCAGAGGTGCTAAGTGCTATGGCCACTATTGTAAACAGATTAGAAGGTAACATCACGAGTGAAGTACCGAAAATATTCGATGCAGTGTTTGAGTGTACTCTAGAAATGATAAATAAAGATTTTGAAGAATTTCCAGAGCATAGAACGAATTTCTTTTTACTTTTACAGGTAATTAACTACTATATTGTTCTAATTGTATGTTGACTATAATGAAAATTATATTCATTCAATACTTTTTATTATACAAATTACAATTTTTTAAATGCTTTTCTACTATAGGCGGTGAATGTTTACTGTTTTCCTGCATTTCTTTCAATTCCACCGGCACAATTTAAACTTGTCCTTGATTCAATAATTTGGGCTTTCAAACACACAATGAGAAATGTTGCAGATACAGGATTGTTAATACTGTATCAGCTTTTACAAAATATTGAGAATGAGGAAGCTGCGCAAAGTTTCTATCAAACATATTTCACAGATATTCTTCAACACATATTCAGTGTAGTTACAGACTCATCACATATAGCGGGTAAGTTCAAAAAAAGTTTATCAGTAAGTCCGAAAAAAGTGCATGAGATGTATATTAATTAATTTACTTTCATTTTTTAACATTATACTAAATATATTACGACTTTTATTATTTTTATAAAATTAAATTGTTATGATAATTATATAGGTCTTAATATGCACGCTACAATTTTGGCATACATGTTTTCATTGGTTGAACTTGGCCGAATTCATGTACCATTAGGACCTGTACCAGATAATACGTTATACGTTCAAGAATTTGTTGCAAGATTACTTAAAGCAGCATTTCCACATTTAACAGATAATCAGATTAAAATTACCGTGCAGGGATTATTTAATCTTGATCAAAATATCCCGGCATTTAAAGAACATCTTAGAGATTTTCTGGTTCAAATTAGAGTAAGTATTTAAAACATTATGTGTCGGGTTTTATTTTTATTATGTAAATGTTTTATTGATACATTAAATATTATTTTCTATAGGAATACACTGGTGAAGATGATTCAGATTTATATTTAGAAGAGCGAGAAACCGCATTACGATTGGCTCAGGAAGAAAAGTGGCGACAGAAAATGTCAGTTCCAGGAATACTTAATCCACATGAAATACCAGATGAAATGCAGGACTGAATTACCAGTCATCATTGTTACCTGCTGCTTCCTGTAAATCTCAATAAGAAACATTCTGTTACTGAGACTATTGTATCCTTTGATCTGCAACTTTCCCCACATGTACCACAACAGTCATCAAAATGGATATGCATTATATACTTTTTAAAACCAAATTTACAGTATAACATTCTTGTTAAGGAGGTAAGCCCGAAACGTGGTGATTGTTTGTCTGTTAAACAGTTTTAAAAGAATTGAAACTTCTGTTACAAGTAACAGGTGAAAACGTGCTGGACAATACTATTTTATGTAATAAAAAGAACATTTGTATATTGCTATTTAATGCAAGTAATTCATATTTTGTACTAAGCAAATATAATACAAAAGTCTATGATGTTTAACGAATACTTAAAATAGTGATATATAGTAATACATATAATAAGGATATATTTCATATTTTAATATTTATACTTTGCGTTTCTTTTCCTTGTATCGTATCTCTCAGTTGTATCTCTTTTTTACAGTTTTGATTATTTCAACACGTGGTATAAATTATAATACGGCTATTATTTAATAATTGAATTATTGAAAGAACATTACTAATATATAATGTGTATATTTATATTAAACTTAAAAGTATAACTAAAATTATTTTCTAAAACAAATTTAAAACAATGTGTAGTATTATGCATAAAATAGTGTTGCTTCAGCAAATTTAGAGAATGTTACACGTATATGTGTGTTTTTATCTGCATAAAGTTGTATAATACTATTATTAATATTGCTATATATAAATATATAGATACATAGATATATAAATATATATTGTCTACAAGACATACTGAGAAATTTTGTAAATTAAACTACATGTCACACATAGCATTTATTTAGATTTCACTTCTCTAATCCTATATATTTATAGATAAACCAGTCTATATTTTTGTCATATTTAACAAATATAGATGAATTAAAGAAACGAAATTAAACATTTTTCAATACATTAAGACCCATTATTTTATTTTTTTTTTCTTTTTTTTCCTAAAAGTCTTAATAATAATCAAAATAGATCATCTATATTTTAAATGTTGTATTCTTTGGGAGACGAGGAATTTCTAACAGTTATATGATCAAGAAATTTTTATTCTATTTCTTGTGTTTATTTAATTACATTTTGTAATTTGTTATTTTACTCAATTTATAATATAATGAAAGACAACTTCTTGAAAATACACATGTAACTGCTATTAATTTTATATACAATTTAAAAATATCCAATAATTTCCATATTTATTTGAATTGAAGTAATTAAGTAATAAAAATATATATTTTGCGTACAATAGAATTTTAATTCTTTGATAATACATTTAACTGAATTTGGCAGATTATATTTTGTACCATTGCATTTCTATTATTGTTATCAAAACATAATTCTTAAATTTAGTAAAAAAAAAGCTGAAATGTCAACCTCAGAAAAGGACAAATTTTCTTATCGTTCGAGCTTGCCTCCATCATACCGAATACTACAGGTGCTTTATCCTATGAATCACAAATAATCTCGATACATGGTAACACAATTTAATACACGTCTAACATTGGTATATGACCTATAGAAGAACTGTGAAAGTAGATAAACATTAAATTTCATAAAAGAAAACTTTGTGTGAAAATCTAACATAAGAATTGTAAAATGCTTGAATTTGGTTGTAAATGAAAAATTACTTCTTACAGTTTGTAATTTCATATTTTTTATTATTTATTGAAGCTTATATCTCTAACGTAACGTGCTCTGTTATCATGAAAATAATTACTTCTGACATTGGTCTTTCATTGAAGCAGATGGGAAAGAAAGTAATGGACGTCACAACAACAAGAATGTAATAGGTACATATACCGTTACTGCATTTTAATAAAATGTCAACTATTTGTATCATACGAGTAAAGTGAAAAAGCAGCTCTGCTTGAAATCCTGAAGCCATTACATTTGATACTATGCGACTCGGGTCTCAAGCTAGGCCGCTAAAATTCCAGTGAAAGAAAAAAAAAATTAAAAAAGAAAATCAATGTGACTTGATTTCTTTTTTCTATTAATAGACTATATTTATTTGCAATCAGTTGCAAACAAAAAAATTCGATATCATTTTCAAAACGATCCGTAGTAACTTTATAAACTTTTATCACAAAAGGAAAAAAATTATTTGTATGAATAGGTGTAATAAGTTACAGAATGTATTTAGTCGTACATAGTTGTATGTGATAAAATTACATGTAATGAGGAAAGTGCTTAAAATTCGTAAGATATCGAAGTAATAATCGTATCTAAAAAATAAAGCTGCAACTAAATGTTTTATAAGCTATTCGTTTGTTATACGAGAGTCCTAAATTTAGCAAGTTTCTACGGTGTAAGTGATTTTGGACGTTAACAAGTACAGCTAAGACACAAGAATGATATATTTTTGTTGTTATATATTGATCTTTGACTTAAAACATGTTTTCTAACAAATGAAAAAAAAGATAGAGATTCCTTTCTTTCCAAATTAATAGTAATAAAAATAAAAAATTAACATTGTTGAATATCAAACTGCATAAATGTAAAAAGTATTCTACGCTTTATTCCTACAAAAGAATCACTACGAAACTGCAAAACAAATTCTGTAGTAAGATTGCATTGAATAGACAAAATACTTGAACAAATATCATGGTATACTTTTTTGAATTCATGCACAATAAATATAAAAGTAATTTAATACTTGTATTTATTGCTGCAATACAGTTTATGTTGATTTTTAAAAAAGAATTGATCGTAAGAAAGATCTCTTCCTCTCCCTTTTGAATTTTATTTGATTTGGAGAGAAATTAATAAACCGATTCTGTAAGCTGTTGAATTATGACATTAATCTTATAAGTTGCCAAGGATCATGTGACATAGTTGCGAGTACTGAGTACATAGTTACAGAATGGTCCGTCATGGGTGTTTGAATGAGTGGATGTATAAGTTAAGAGTTCTACCAGTTATTCATTATAATGACAGAAATATGTAAAGAGTTTAATAACACTTACTAATAAAATAAAAAATGCCACTATAATGATCCTTAATATTTCTGATAAAATATATATGAAAAATTAAGAATTTCTTTAGTAACATATTTTCTTTTTTTGTAAATATTACAAACATTTCTATTTCTAATATTTGATTATTTATATAATTAAAATTGAAAATGTTCATCAATAAGTTTAGAAATAAACATTACATTTCACAATAATAAAATATCAGTTAATGTGAAACATATAAATATGTGACGAAATTATACTGATCATTTTGTAAAACTAATAAATATAATAGTTTGGTATTTTGAAATATTGAGAACAACCATTCAATGATATTTTGTGCACATTAATAAATGAAAAAAGAAATACATATCAAAATATAAACTAAAAATAAATATATATGAAAGTTAACTAATAATAAATAAAATACAAAATTTGATAGAAATTCGATAAAAATACATTCCAAATAAATAATGTAACCTTTGAATATGTTTGAAAATTATATGAAGTGACATCTATTTTATGGAAAATGAACAAGTGTGTCACATTTAACAACTTTTTTTATCGACGAAGTTTATTGCATTTATAAAATAAACTAAAGATCAAGCTATGTATTTTATATCATTTTATTCGCAATAATTTGTATAATTATAAATAAATATTAACTTTTATGTTACCTACATAATTGTATTTCTTATAAAATGTCACAAATTATTTATAATGTATTCGATTTTATAGTCAAATCTTGATATTCTCAAGGACAAAGATAAATTAAATTAAAATTTTAAATACATTGTTCATAATTATTAATGAAACATGTGTATTGTTCGTTTCATGGAAAATCATGCTCATTATGTGATAAACTTTCGTTTATTTTACGAAATAAATACATCTGGTTGGTTCAAGCATCACTTCTAATCAAAAGCAACTCGCATGCGCCTTTACGTTTTTGGCACTCAGTAAATATCGACTAAGTTTCCACCGAGGGTTCAAGTCGGGTTAGAATCGGGGTAGAGTTCAGTTGCCTTGCCTGTTTCCATCAGAAAAGAATTTTATTGACTAAGTATCCACCGAGGGTTCAAATCGGGTTAGAGTCGGGTTTGAGTCGGGTTAGAGTTCAGTTGCCTTGCGTTTCCATCAGATCAAAGTTACGTTGGAGTTGCGGCAGGGTTGAACATTACCAACTGCATAAAGTCAACTACCATATTCTGACATAGACTACGTTTCCATCGAGGGTCCAAATCGGGTCAGAGTCGGGTTAGAGTCGGGTTGGGGTCAGCGCTTGTACGGTGGAAACGCCAAAGGTTTAGTTGAACTCTACCCTACAAAATTTTAGGGTAGCGTTCAGTTGAGGTTCGGTGGAAACGACAAGAGTCGAGTTCATGTTGCCAACATAACAAATCCAAATTGCATTGTGTATCACGTGCTGTATTAATTGGTGTAGAAGAGGTTATTATTACTTTTTGTTGGTGATCTTGTAATCTGAGAAATAATTTTTGTATGTTATTTTGATATTGTAAAATTAATATTGCTCAGCTTTACATGTTAGAATATGGTAGTTGACTTTGTGCAGTTGGTAATGTTCAACCCAACTCCAACCCCAACGTAACTCTGATCCCATGGAAACAGGCAAGGCAACTTAACTCTAACCCGACTCTAACCCGACTCTAACCCGACTCTAACCCGACTCTAACCCGACTCTAACCCGACTCTAACCCGACTCTAACCCGACTCTAACCCGACTCTAACCCGACTCTAACCCGACTCTAACCCGACTCTAACCCGACTCTAACCCGACTCTAACCCGACTCTAACCCGACTCTAACCCGACTCTAACCCGACTCTAACCCGACTCTAACCCGACTCTAACCCGACTCTAACCCGACTCTAACCCGACTCTAACCCGACTCTAACCCGACTCTAACCCGACTCTAACCCGACTCTAACCCGACTCTAACCCGACTCTAACCCGACTCTAACCCGACTCTAACCCGACTCTAACCCGACTCTAACCCGACTCTAACCCGACTCTAACCCGACTCTAACCCGACTCTAACCCGACTCTAACCCGACTCTGACCCGATTTGGACCCTCGATGGAAACGTAGTCATATATGGATGACCGTTTTTATCCTAGAGAAGATCATTTTCATTTTGCGCAAATTCAACCCATCCAAGATATTCTTTGCTACTAGTATAATGCCGCTCTATAGCTTATTTTTCATCTAATGGTCATATACACAGTAGACAGAAATATACGATTACTCGTACAAAATAATGATTCTTGAAAGTATACTAAAGAAAAGATTACTAGATATATACTTACGCTATTACGATCATCGTAAAGACGCTTGCGCGTTACCCTTGGTTACGGAGTATGCTAAACCAATTAGAGGTAATATGCGCAGAATGAACCAAAATTCGCCGTTGAGAAACATGGTCTTCAATGCAACGAATAATTTTAATTCATTTAGTAAAAAATACACATAAATAGTTTATATAATTGCATCTCAAGAATAATTTGCTATTTAAAATTTGTTAAAAGAATTTGTTGATTAAAGTTTCTGTTATAAGATCAGTTATGCGATATGTATTATTTATTTATAAAAAAGTTAGTTAACTCATTTAAAAAGATAATAACATAAAATCTAATTAAATATTTAAATTATATAGTTAAAATGTATATTACAAACTACTATGGTTTTCATAAGTTTCATTAAATTAATCCTTCGTTTGAAATTTATTTAGAAAATCAAATTGACTCATAGAAATAAATGCTTAGGAAGGTACTGAAATATGAGCAGTATATAGTGGCGACAATGACGGTATTGTGAAAAACGAACGGTCAGATTACATTAGAAAAAAAGGCTTGTTCAGAGTTACTCGGTGGCTGTAATTTTAAGCAGTAATTAATTGTTGAAAAGATTAATATTTTCGAAAAAGAAAAATATGGAAGCAGAACCTGTGGAACTTGAGGAAGGCGAAGTTATTGATGATGAGGTCAGATATTTTATGCTCTCATGTTTGACAGGAGCTAACCTGTGTAACCATGAAGAAATTCTGTTTTAATTTAAAAATTTACAATCGAATAAAATTAGCTTATTGTAAATTGTATTAATTTACTTATATATAACTTTTTTGTACTTTACAATTTGTTTGTTAAATTTTTTAAAGTATTTGATGAGTAGTGAATAAAAAACTTGTTTATTTCAAAGTGATGTTTATTGTTATTAATTTTTGTATTTAGGCAAATGACATTGAAACATATAACGTTTTAAAAAGACCTCATGAATTTTTAAACAAAGAGGAACATGTAAAAATGGGCTACAGTGATGAGTCTGATGATTCTGCGGATTCTGAAAGTGATTCCGATTCTGATTCTGGACATATCAGAAGTAAAAGGCCCAAATTAAAACTAAAACGGTCTAGAAATTTAATCAAGAATTGGAAGGGAAAAAATGATAAATATAAAATATGGTGCACTCAGTTGCAAGAAGAATCTTTAACGGAAGACTTAGTATTGTGTGGTGTAACAAAGAAACAAAATCAGGAGCGCAGTGTTGAGAATTATAGTATTCCACACCATTATTCTTCTAATGATAGGTGGAATATGGGACATCGTAATAATAATAGTTCAGAAGATGAAAAAGATAGCGAAAAAAGATTAACAAATAAAAGAACAAACTCAGACAGAAGTAATATTAAACTAAGATTAGGAAAGAAACTTAATTCAATGAGTACAGATAATCAAAAGGGAACTGGACGGAAAATAGCGGATTTAAGTACAACAATTGAATCAACTGATGCAGATGTTGCAACAGATATAACATCAAAACTTAACGAGAAGAAAGATCTTCTAATCAGTAAGAAATATAATTGTTTTACATTGAAATGCACTACCTAAAATAATTGGAGAATAAAATTCTTTTGAATGATATAAATTCAAATAACAGAAATTAAAGTACAATGAATAATTAACATATTAATGTTAGTATCTTTTATAGAGAATAAGATATTTTTTAATGCAGATTCTTCAATTATTTTAATCCTCGTACAATAACGTCTTCAGATAGTCCATTAATAGCTTTTGTATACTGGTTGCGATGTACCATATTCTGAATGTTAAACAATGTTTAAAAAAGGTTTTATTACATTTATGATATATTGATATCTATAAACCTATTACCAATATTAAAAAAATTTTTGTATATTATTATATGAAGAGATCTTTTTCATTATATAAACAACAAAAATTTAATTTCACTCTAGGTATTGGAAAAAGAGAGTAATTTCAATAGCTTAAATGGAATCTGAGAAAAATTTATATATATTTGCATATTTCTTATTAAAGACTTGTTTTAAAGACTTTTACTTAAAATGTTTCATAAAATTTTGCATGCATATAAAGTTATAATATTTATAATAGTATGTAATCACATTATAATTTTAATGTATAAATATCTGTGTGTTTGTTAAACCTGATTATCTATTGATATTTTTGATGTCAAAACAAAAATATCAGGCTATGCTTTAAAATACTATGCTTGAAAATAGGACTCAAAAATAACCAAATTAGTAAACATTCACTAAACCAAATAAGTATATTGTTCTTTAAAACAACAAGAGGTTGCAATTGTACTTTTAGCCTTTCTTCTATTTCTTTTGATTAACATCAACATTAACACATAATCAAGGTTCACAACTGTGATATAAACAGATATTTATGTATAAAAATTAGAACCTTGCTAGAGGTTGTTATAACATATCCAATGTTTTGAATATGTTTCAACAAAAAGTTACTTAATTTAGTAAGAAGTATGTAAATTGTATATAAAAATTTGCCTTATACTTTATTTAAGATATTAAAATTATCTTTTGTTTTCTAGTGGGACTAAATTTTGTTATAATGTTCCTTCAAAAAAATATATATCTACAGATTTGTAGATAGTTTGTGATATATACTACACATTATATAGCACATCTTATACATTTATGTAGCAAGATATATATATCTACATACTTATTTAAACTTCTGTGTTTCATAGGAAGAATTGTAGATATAATTGGTAAAGAAAAAGCTATTGATTTTTTCCAAAAAACAAAAAAGATTGAAGAAGGAGGTGGTATGTTAATAATGAATGGATCTCGAAGAAGAACTGCAGGGGGTGTTTATTTATGGTTAGTAAAAAATGATAAATATATACCTCAAGAAAAAATAAGGGAAATTTTTTATTACGACAAAAAAGAACACGCAGAAGAAAAAAAAGCTGATGCTGCTGCAAGGAGACAGAAGGCTCAAGAATTAATCAAGTGTTTGGAAAGTAAGTTGTTATACTTAAATTATAACAATACGCTTCCTGAGAAACTTAATTTAATGAAATGATTATTTTTATAGATGGATCAGAAAAAGATCTTCCTGCCCTGTTAACAAAATCAGAACTCTCTACAAGAGAGATAGCAGAAGAAGCAAGATTAAGGCGTGGTGAGGGAATGGATAGAATGCCAGTGGATTCAGATCGTACAATGACTAATCCACCTCCTAGTCCTGTGACTGATGATCCTGATCATACAGAACATCCACTTATTCAGAGGCATGTCCAAGAGTATGGAGAGGACTTTCTTGATATTGGAATAGACATAGATAGTATGGAAGTACTATAAATTATCTTTTATTATTTCTTTGTAATATGTATTGCGCAGATAATTTGTACAAAACGAAGTTCTACTCATTGCTAAAATCTCCACATAAAGCCACATGCATAAGAGCACATGTGCGTACATACACAAATACACAGACATAATGTGAATACAGTTTATATAGTTTGTATGTATGCCTATAATATATACAGTTAAAAATTTGGGGTGTAATCGAATAGTGATCAGTCCAAATCTACTGCAACGACGTTCCATATTGTGATAAAATAATTTATCAAGTGTATATACTATGGTAACATACTTTGTCACTTTCTCAGATTTTGGAAAACAACAAATATTTGTGTACCCTTTTATTATGTTTCATTTAACATGTTTATATTTATTATTAAGATAAATGTAAAAAAGGTGTATGAAACGTAACAAATATGAAGTTTCATAAAAATTATAACACTATGTTATGTCATTTTTATGAAATTTCCAGCGTTAAAAATTATTTATGTACATACAGATCACTATGAAAATAAATATTAGACTATTTGTACTTTGTATAACATATTGTATGGATTATCTCATATATACAGTTTTATTTACTGTATCACGTATATGAATGTTTTGGTTTTAATAATTAATCATATTCATATTAATATTAAAAGTACTAACTAAAATAGCATTTTAGTTTTTATTATTATCAGTTTGAGAAACAGTTTTCATATTTTGTAAGGATTAATACTTATTTAGTTATGAAACTAAATTAGAATTCAACTCAAAAATATAATTTAGTTACGTTAGAAAACGCAAGTAAATAAGACTGAATTATTTCCAACCGAAATTTGATATTAACAGATGAATTGTATGTTAGAAAATTTTAGCCGTAATAATAACTTTTTCATTTTGTTAGAACCCTAGAGTATTTTATTCGTTAATGAGCAAACTTTTTGTTTATTTACCTTTAAATAGTAAAGTAAAACAGTGTATAGAGAAAATGAACTTATACATTTATATGAATTTCTGAAAAATAAATGGATAAATTTTTAGTTATGAAGTATTTTTGAATTTAAATTAGTGACTATGAATAATACTTAAAATAAAATTTTATTTTATTCATTATTATATACAATTTCTAAAATATTTATAGGAAATATATATAAAATTTATAATTCGCATTTTATAAATACCATACTTTTATGTTCTAATATTAGATTTAAATACAAATTTGTAAACTATAAAATATAAACAATTAAAATATTACTGTTATTAAGATTACTAATATATAACAAATTTTAAGTTATTATTAAATATGATAGTAAATTATTATTTTATGATTTTTTATAGTTTAAAACTTAATGTTTTTAACATTTATTTATTAATTGATTCTTCGTGCCAGATAGTACTATTATAATGAAATTATGTTTAAGATTATTAAAAGTAAATCTTTATGTATATTACAATGTAATGTAGGGATAAATTAGTAATGTTTTACATTAGGAAACAAAATATTTTAGTATTATCATAAAATAAATACTGCTTTTATTTATCTATTAAAATTAAATAAATAATAAGATTGCATTGTTTGTAAATATAGTATATATCTACATCATTTTTTCTAACAATAGAAGTAGTGTTTCACATCTTTCTCTAACCTACAGAAAAATTTTAATGTCAATTACATATATCATAATGAAGCGTACAAAATAATATCAGAATAGTACAGATAATACTTACTTGATCGATCGTACGATTTCCTAATGTTTTACTAACCATTGCTAACGAATTTTCAGAATATTCCTTTTTAATAGTTTGTAATAGTATCATATCTTCTTGTCGTGTCCATGGTTTAGTATTTATATTAATATTGAAACTAACAGTATTATCCATTTCATTAAATACACTAGTTTTATTTACATTATCATTTAATACGTCAGCATTTATGTTTATCGTGTTTTCGGATGTCGTTTCTTTAGTAGAATCTTTCGAATCTGTATACAAAGGTTCATCCAATTTTACGTATTCAAGATCGTACGAATTTGTATCTTTCTCTTTTACTTCATATTTCTCAATTTTTTTTTCCTTTTTATTCTTACATTGTGTTATACGCATTCTTTTAGCATTTGTATGCACATGGTCTACTTCACTTCCTGATCTTTTCAAACATCTCTTTTGATCTCCTGATTTTGATGGAGATTTTATATTCTTTTTTGATTTTATTACCGCTTTCCCTCCTTCTTCATTTTCTTTAGTAGACGAATTTTTTGACACGCAAGATTTTTGGTACTGTTCATCCGAATTGAATTCATTCTTAGAAGATTTTTTCCGTTGTCGAGAGGAAATAGACGGAACAAATTTATCAACTGTTTTCAACGATACACGAGCAATGTTTTCTAACTTTTCTTCATCAGCTCCAGGAAATATAATTTTAGCAGGTCTTAAACCTTCAGATGTTTGAAGATAAATTTTGCCATTCAGAAACTGTTTAAATAATTATGTAATTTTAATGATGTATTACATGATAATTAACATAATTAAGTAGTCTCAAATAAAAAATGTTAATTTTAATGATTCATTAATTGTGATTCTTATTTATAACTTATTTTATTTTTAGTAAATATTTGAGACAACTTTCATAATTTTTAGAAAATAATTGTAAAAATTATGTACCCTTGTACCACAAGATACACAATGTTCCGGAATATTTTTAAAAGTACCATCGTCACTACTATGACAATTACATTTGCAATTTTCTCCACCGTAAGGATCTTCCTGAGATACTAACACTGGCAATTCAACATTTTCATATAATTCTGGTGCATCTTCGGTATAAATTTTATTTTTATCGTATGGTCCCATTGGACATGTTAAATTTTCGAACATGTGCGATGCAAATAAACTATAAAATAATATAATGTGTTGAATACGCATACTCTTACAACGGTACTCATAGCGTAAATTTAAACTGTTTTATACTTAATTATATTATACCTTTCTGGTGGTTTCGCAGTAGGTAATATTTGTAAAAATAAATCCATAACTAAAGGATGTCCTTTAAGTATAGGGCCTATAGATGCGTGAACATGTTCCAAAGTTGTTTGAGGATCGGATGAAAGTTGTGTAATAGCTTGCATAATTTTTGCGATTCGAGACGGTTGTTTTGCAAAATATATTTGAGCTACATTAATAAAATCGCTCATCTTTTGAAGCATTATATACTCTACTGACTTATCTATCATTGCAGCTTGATGTGGCTTCAGAAATAACAAAAAATCTGTACAAAGCTCGGGATATTCATGTAATTTTTCACATACATCCCAATATAATTTAATAGTAATTGCATCTTTATCTTTTGTATTTTTTTCCTTGATATGTTCGTTTTGCAAAAATTCTGATGTACTAGAAAAGGGTAGTTCGCTCTCCATTTGATTAATACTTTCTAATTTTTCATAGTAATCTAAATATAATTTTATCACAGATCGAAATGTTTCTGGATTACTAGATTCTAATGTTAAATGTAATTTTTGAAGATATGATGCTGCAAATTCTATATGAAATAATAAATTAATATTTTCGTATTCACAATATATTCAGAATGATTAAATAAAACATACTTGATGCTCTTTCTTCTTCATTTAATGGATTTTCAGATTCCAAAAGCCTTTTAATATTTTCTAACTCTCTAGCTTCTTTAGCTTTCTTTCTGCTAACAGAATCTTTCTTGATAGTAGTACTAGCTAACATTAGTTCTGCTATTTCCTCTTCACTATCCTGTAAAATAATATGGAATGTTAAAAACTTTTATTTCAGTTCATTGTAATAAGAAACATTTTTACTTACAATTTTTGGCAAGCTTAACATTTTATCTATGTTCTTATCTAAATCGATTTTTTCTCTGGTTTTTAAAGTATTATAATTAGATGATAATCCTTTCGATCCTAAAACTTGAGCCATTAACTTCATATTTTGAGCACTTCTTGTTTTCGCTAATCTAGGTGTAGTTCTTCGTAACGGAGGTAATTCTTGTACCATTTCAGATTTTTTAGAAAACTTCGAACTTTTTGAATTTATTAACACACCATGTTGAACATCTTCAAAATTTTTATCGCCTTTTTTTGCTTCCTCTTCTTGTGTCGTTATGGTCTTGGAAAAGTTACTGTCATGTAATATACGTTCTTCATTACATACTGTATCAGAACTATGTGGGAGAGTATTTGTTTCATTCCTTGATACTTTTACCAAGTTATTACAGTTAGTGTTCTCATTTATATTTGAATCACTTTTCGATATATTTTTAGTTACTGTTTTTTTATTAGTATTTGCAGGTAATATTCTCGGTAATGTGTTAACATTCAGCTTACGCAAACATGGAATGTTAGAAACAGTTGTGTTTCCACTAGTTAAACAGTTTTTTTTCATAAGATCATTGTATGAATTCAATATATGTTTTCGTTTGAGTAAATCAATTTTTTGCTCCGACTAAATAAAAAAATATATATTATAAAATATGTAGAATAAAATTGAGATTAAGTTAAGACATTCTGAACAACTTTTTATATTTTTTGAAATTTAAAAATATATAATTATTAATCTGTATAATAAAAGTATTGGCTACTTAATAAGCTATCACTTACATTATTAAGATACGTTTGCCATATTAAAGGTAACAGGTTTATTGGTTGGTCTTTAGGTGCTTTAAGATCACATTCTAATGTTATGTAATGTATAGTTCTAGGAGCGCAGCCTTTTTCAAAAAAATGCTGGAAAAGTATTTGTTTGACTTTTTTATTTAACTAATAAAAAGTTTAGTACTAATTTTACAACTTAATTAATAAATTATATTAGTTTAATTTAATTAGATAAATCTTTTTATTTAACTAATGTATGTCGTGAAATAGATAGCAATGTAAGTTTAGTTTTTAAAAATACAGACTTGTATGTATGGATACAATTTATGATAAACTATTTATTGAAAATAAAATATCAATCATAGATCTACTTTTACCTCAACAAATATAAAACTTTTATTTTCTCATATATGTATAAATATTACTTACCTTTATTGGATTTCCTTCTTTTGCATATCGGCGTTTCTGAATATGAGAAAATATTCCGTGAGGTTCTCTACATGGTATCAAATACTGAATAATTAATTGTACTGCATCCATTAATTGAATCTTTTTACTTTTGAACCTTCTTGGCTTGGATGCAACAAAAGGAAGAAATTGTTCTAAACCTAAGACGATTAAACTAAAATTGCGTTTTAATAAAATGTAATATAAATTCATAATATAATTATAATTTTGCGTATGATGTATACTCACTTTTCTTCGGATCTCACATACGGTGATCTTGCAAATTTATTTAATTCGCTTCTAAAAGGTATTTCAGGCAAAAGTTGTGGGTACATTAAAGCTTTACTTTCCATAAATAATTTTTTTAATTCTGGATGAAATTTAGGAATATATTTCCATTTATTTGTTAGATAAATTTTTTTTATAGCATCTTCATCTGCAAAACTTTTTTTAAAATCTTCACAAAATTTATTATCCAAAAATTTATTTTCCCAATCAGATATTAATTTCAAAGCATCTGGCAAATTTGCTACATTAAATGCTGAATGTGGACCATTGCTTAAATACCTAATGTAACATAACAAGTATAAATAAGTATTATATATTACCTATTAATAAATTGTACATTACTTAATTATGTACTTACTTTATACTATTTAAATTCTGTTTGCATGTTATTGATAGCGAATGTAAATCAGGATGCATATATGTCATAGTAAAATGTTGTACAGTCAATTGAACATGCTGCCGAAATTGAGTTGCCAATAACTCTCGTTGTTTAGAATCTATTAAATCAGGAAATTCAGATTCTTTATAAACAGGCAGTAAGTCTGTTACAGAACAATTCTAAAAATAAACAAATTGTTATGTTTAATCAAAAAATACAACTATTTCTAATTACAATTATATTTCTAAAATGTACTTATACATATTATTTTTATACCATATTATTTTCAGCAGAGGAATTTATATTTTCTGGAGACCTTCTTTTTTTTGAAATTTCCTGTTCTTGTTTTGAAAATGTATCAGTAAATTCAAACAATTCGGCAATCAAATTATTTAATTCTTTGCGAGTAACTTTTACAGCTTTATCAGCTCGTAATTCTTCTTTATCAACTATAAATATAATATATTAAATATTTCAATTGTGTACACTATCTAACAAATGTACAATATGTAATTTTGTAAGTATATTTACATACAAAAGTCTGTTTCTTCATCTTCCAAAATATTATATTCGGGATCTGCTTCTGGATCATCTTCTGTTACAGGTTCTTGAGTTAATGGTTGAGTAAATTCTTTTAAAAAATTGTCCCAATCTTCATCTAATTCACAATCCCAGTCATACATATCAGTTGTTATATCTGGTGGTATAAATGCCTGTTCAATTTGTTCCAAAGGTGTTTCGCTTAAACAGAGTTTTGAACGTGTTCTCTGACCAATACTTTCTTCTTCTGTTGGAACATGAGGTATACTAAAAAAATGTGCTCATATATAATTATAATCTTATTATTGTAATTTATATCTATATAATTATGTTTAGTTATAGTTTACTTTGGAATTTTGAAAATTCCCTCTGGGTCATATTGAACATGTGACAATTTACACTGTTCAAGTACCAATGTATCACATTGATTTAACGGTGTTGATGGTTGGGACTCCACATCACTACTCGTAGAATTTTCTGCTTCTTTTTCATCGTCACTTTGTTTATCTTGTTCTGGATTATACTCTTCATCAGAAGAATCCTCTGGTAATTCTTCTTCGATTAATACTTGCACTTCAGATGAAGCTTTTTTCACTGGAGTAATTGGCCAAGGTATATTAACTTGAGCTGCTGCTAATTCTCTATATTAAAATATTTCTATTTAAGCCAAAATATTATATATGTTCATTTAACATACAAAATATACCATACTTGGCCTTTGCTCTTGTCAACTTTGGTTCAAATGTTACATCATCTTCTGTATCATAAAGCCGATTTTTAACCATTGCCATTACATGCTCATTAGTAATAACATGTTTCAAAATATTTTTCACATTTGTTGCTGTTAGATTAATTTTAGCTGCTTTAGCATCAAGTTGTCTTTCAATTTCTTCTTCCATCTCATTAATGACCGAAGAAGTTTCTTCAACAGTATCCCTTTTATGTTTATTTGGAGGTTCATTATTATCAATTTCAGAGACATCGATTTGTAAATCCGCAGTTTCTGAGTCAGAAGATTCATCATTGTTCACATCATCAAAATCAAAATTAAATGAAAATGATAGGTTACATTTTTTTGTAGATTCATTTAAAGAAACAGAAGGAGGAAATAAATTATTGACTTCTTCCTCAGCAATGTTTTGTTTTGAAGACTCTTCCCTGCAATTAAAATTATAATTTGAACTTGTACCATATCATATAAAGTATACATACTATTTTTTTATAAACAAATATTCAAGTTATTATAGACTAATTCATGTAAACTAACATTATCAACTCCTTTTGCAAACTTTGTTAAAAGACTTCAACAGCTTTATTGCCCTTTCACATTTTCTTTCCTATTTGGTTAAAGTGCTTTTCATTTCAAACCTATTACAAAAACAAAAATGTATTTAGATGTACGTAAATATTATGTTGACAGATTGAATAATGAATATATTACACAAAATAAACATGCTACTAATTTTTCAATTCGCAGGTTATATTTGGTTCTGTCATAACTATGAAAACATTCACAAATAAAGGAAATTCTAATTGCTTAAACCTATCATGCATTTTCATGATTCAAAGTTACAATATTTATTATTTAAAATTTGTTTCATACTCGTTGCTATGACCTTTATTATAACTGACAATTAAATAAAAATATATGTATACAATGACATTAATGCAAGGTAATGAATTAAATTTATAGAAAATAAATTGAATATAAATTTATTAAATAAAAAATTGATTTTACGAGTCCAAACCTAAATTATTTTATCCACAGATGCATATATTATTATTAAAATGTAGTAAACAAAAGAAAGTCATGACCTCTTACATATTGTCAATGAATTCAATGACACCCTAAGAATCGATAGTCGTATCGATCTATAATTTTCAAATTTGCTAAAACTACTTCGTATTTCATGATATTTTGTATTATTGTTCTGTTTTTATTCTGCAAAATTTTTATAAATTGATTTTGTACTATATTTAAACCATCAGTACCTAAAATATTTATAATTAAAATAAAATTTTCTGTTTAAAATAAGGAAAAACTTAATTAAGTTAAATTTATATAGTTAATTTAAAAAAAAAAAATAGTTTTTTAAAATTCTTGAAGTCCAAATTTTTTATGTTATATTAGATTTTTGATAGAGGAGGTCTAGTCATCTTAATTTTACGTGTTAATATTTGTAATACATTTTTTATTACACTTCGCGAAGAATAATTTATGCCAAAAGATTTGTAAATATAACTGCGATAATTTCAATCTGTCATTTGGACATGAAGATGCTAGATACTACATATTTGTTTATGAAAGTAATATTCAATATTATCTATAATGTCATTTGTGAAGAAAAGATAATTTATGTTATCGCAATCTCCCATAAAACCGTTTCTCATGAATCATTTAGAAAGTGAGATTATCGAAATTGACTAATATGTGTATTTGAACAGTCATCCCCCTAAAGAGGGAACAAAATATAAGAGCGAGTTTCAACGCTCGGGGTAGTCAGTCTGGTTCAAATACTTAAAATTCGTATATTACGCAGGAACCGAGTAACTCGTTCGAATTAAAAAAAAAATAAATATAATTTAATTTACCGTTTATCCGATATTTACAACTAAAAATGAAAATTCAAATCTTTCTACTTCTGGTCGTTGTTGCAGTTGCAACTTTTGTTGAAGCACAAGATATTTCGAATCTATTAAATGATAGACGTTACGTGCAAAAACAAATTAGTTGTATTCTGGATCAGGGGCATTGTGATGCTATTGGAAGGAAAATCAAAGGTAAAATTTAGTTTTAATAAATAACCAATTTTGGTTTTTGTGGATTATTACAGCACGAATATATCATGATAATTCGTATATTTTTGTAAACATATTATTGGTGTTATATGTGCAGAGTATTATTATGTGTAGTCAGTAGACTGGTATGTTATATTGTATATAGAGCTGTGGCTTATTAATTATCCTATTAAGAATTAAATGATTAAATTGTAATCTATAATTATATATTTTTTAAATTCATAACTAAAACGTAATTATACATTGAGAAAGCTTTTTGAATCGACAATTGATACTTAACTGTTAGCTTAAATTTCTTTTGATTAAGAATATGAATTTAATTTATAATTGTTTCAATTTTAGATAGAAAATTATTTGATTAAAAATTACAATTTAATTTTCAATCGAAAGAAATGTAATTACGAATTAATTATCATTATTAATGAGTGCACAATTAAATAAAAGACGCAATCAATTATTTGAAACTGTATCTAAAGTCTCAAATTTCAAAGTCCTAAAGTTCTAAAATTTTAAAATGTAAAAATTCCAAAAGATCAATAATTCCAACTTCTAAAATCTCATTCCCAAAAATAAAATTTTACTTTATAATTAATATTTTTAATTACATACATATAAAAGCCTTGGTCGATCCTATAAAAATAATTACGTTTTCATTTTTTTATCTTTGTTTAAATGATAAATAGTGAATCTGATTTTGATAATACATGATCTTCATTTTTATTATATTCATTAATTTTCATTAAAATATTACGATTGTTACAGGATTGTTACCAGAAGCTTTGAACAACCAATGCCGGCGTTGTACACCTAAACAAGCGGGTCATGCACGCACATTGATCGCATTTATGCAACAAAATTACCCATACGAGTGGCGTGCTATTGTACAACGATATGCCGCTATGCAATATGCAAATTACAGAAGATTTTAATAAAATAACGATAATTATGTTCTGTCATGTTTTGTTCATATCTTTTAAAAAATTTGGAAAGAAACTATAAAATGACGTTTCACATTAACAACTTTATTTCGTTCTTTTTACCATACCCTTCCAAATTTTTAAATATTTAAATATTTAAATTTTTAAATATTACGTACATAAGGTGTTCATTTTAACTCTGTCATTTTTAATTATTTTGTTATTTGTAAAGGTACCAACAAATGATTCAGGTCAAGCTTATTATATTTAGGAGAAATTAGATGTAAGAGGTGAAGGTTATTTCAAGGACATATATTTCGAGGTTTTACAGTGATCTCTATATTCTTGGAACTTTACGCCACAATCTATTGATTGTCAGGAAGATTCATTTTAAGAGTTCACTTTAAGTTTTTGAGTGAAATATTTCACAAATGAATTTACAATATTTCCTACATTATACATTATTAGATAATACCAATACATTTCATTGAAATATTTCTATATTTATTTATTTATACTTATAAATCAATGGAGCTATTTTCTTGCCACCAGAAAAGTAATTTATATGGTGATAAGGTTAGCTTTTTGTTTGTTTAGTTTTTTAAAATTAATAATTAGAATTTAATTTAAATTAAAAATTATAATAACAATCTAACGAAACAACAGTCGTTCTATTTGTAACTCTATGTGAAATATATTAATTCTATTAGCCATCTGATAAATAAAATAATGCTTAAGCATATAATGTTAGTTTAATAATAAATAATATAGTAAAGTTCGTAAAACAACAAGAACATGTCAATACTAAAAACAAGTTTTGGTTAAAAATTAAATTTTTTTTCAGTTGAAGTCACGTTCAATTAACACTTACATTTCAGTTCTCAATTGAAAAAATATTTAATTATCGATTATAATAAATTACTATACATGATCATTTTCACTGCAATAGCGAATGTCTAACATTTAGAAAGATGTATATTTAAATTAGCATCACAATTATTATTTATATACTTGATCAAATTTATGTTAGAAACGCAATTTACATAGAGTGAAGGTTAAGGGACACGATAGAAAGCTTCTACAGTCAGTTTTTCGCAATATAGTTGAATGATAAATTGAGTTGAAATCATGATACGATCCGCATATTAAGTAGTGTGATGATTCTAATGTCGAAACATATACACATCACATAAACAGGATGACTCCTAGTTTAACAACTATAGGAAGATTCATCGAAGTTCTGCTTACAAAGAATATTTAATGCTTTTGCGGTAATTCTAAGAACATTTTCAGGGCTACTTGTGTACTGCTAAGTCTAAGAATAATTAAACAAATATTATTCCTATAATAATTGGTATTTATTATTTGTTAATTATCTTGCATTCCGAATTTCTGAATTCCAATTTTGCAAAATTCCAAGTACCTTAATTTTTAGATTTCCAAATTTTCACATTTTGGAATCCTAAAATTTCTTAAGTTCTCAAATTCTTAAATTTATAAATTCCCTAAGTTTTCAAATTCTTTTTACAAATATTCAAGTTTCCGAATTTCCAAATTCCCAAACTTCCAAATTCCCATATTTCTCAAACAACTAAATTTTAAAATTCATAAATTTCTTCGTTTAAAAATTCCGTAGATTGAAGATTCAGAAATTAAAGTTTCAAAAGGGGTTCAAAATTAAAAATTAATCAAAAATTAAAGTTATAAAGTTCCAAAGTTTCTCCGAAATTATACAAAATTCCAAATTCTGTTGTCTTACACAGCAAGATTATTTCTACTTAAATTAAGCAACTGTTATTATTATAATAATTGGTACTTATTATACAAAAAGAATTATGAATATCTTCGCTAAACTTTGCAATGCATCATAATTCATTTAATATTTATTAAATTTTATCAAAGATGTTTATTTTCTATTTGTACGTTTATATAAATCGTAAACACATAAAAGATAATCATCGAAACTTTAAAATTGTATCGTCATTGATAATAATCCTTGACAAAAATATACAAGGTAAATGCAGAATGATCGTTGAACATAACAAAGAATGATCTCTTCGTTATTCTTGATAGCACGCTATTCTAATTGTGTGCTAATTATTTGTGTTGCACCACTTAATATGAAAACCTGTTGCTGATGACCAAACAAGAAGCAAGGACGTTCTTCGGAAAGTTTTCACGGGAAAACCTTCTTATGATTTCATATGCGAGGAATGCTAAAAAATTTCATGTCATAATTATGTATAATTACGATTAGATCCGAACTAAGTGTTTTGAAGGCCCAGAGCTATTAAATCTTCGAAGTGCTTCTTGATTGGAAAGTAAGTGGTAAAAGAAGAAAAACAGCTTCTGTAAAGAAACCTGCAATCAAATAGCTAAGTCTTCAATAATTAACATTTATTTTAAATAAAAGTAAACGACTTCTAATACCAATCGAAAGTAATAATTCACAAATAAATTATATTAGACGACAAACATACATTTCCACATCTTTATACAAATTAATATTATTGTGGTTTGTTCAACAGGTGCATTATTAATAATTCCTTTTTTAACAATACTTACATTTTAGTTATTTTAATCTGATTTATTTTTATATTTAGTTCAACTTCGATTTCGGAAGGAAACAATAAACAAAATAAAGAACAACAAAGAAATAAGTAAATAATACAATAAATATATATATTTTTTAAAATTGAAGGTTTAAAATGGAGGTTCCTGGATAGTGGCACTCAGAGTTGTAATCCTTTCTATAATTATCTTGCTATAAAATCTCATAGCTATGATTATAATAATTTGTATAATATTTAAATAAAAATTTTATGATGGTATAGTGTTCATGCATACATAAGCCTGTGCTGAAAACGTTGGCATGGAGGAAAGTGTTCAGGTCTTGAGCAAAATCGATAAATCGTCAGCAAAATTTAAAACAATAACAGAGACGATCGTTATACAATTCAATTTTCCTTCATATACACTAAATGTTGTGTAATAATCGAATACACAATATTTACTTGGATTCGCTGAAACAATAATGAGGAATTAATTAAACTAATCAATCTTTCAATAAGGAAAAGTGACATAAAACGACGAAGGACACTTTGAAGTAAATTAACTGTTAATAACCCACGCGTCTTTGTGAGCTAAATGTATTAAATATTAGTTTGACTAGAAAGGGAATCAGGGTGGGCTTGACATCCTAAAATATTGACTTTTAAATTTCCAAATGTTAATTACGAAACCCACAAATTCTTAAATTTCCAAAAAACAAATTTTAAAATTACCAATTTTTCAATTTGTCAATTCTTCGAATTTTTAAATTCTGAAATTCCTAATTTCTTAAATTTTAGTATTTTTGTGCTCTCGGAATTCCTAAATTCCTAAATTCCCAAATTCC